CGAGCGTGCTCCAGGCGTTCTAATTGTCGCAGACAGGTCGTAGCGAAAAACTGGCCGGACAGTTTTCGGGCTGCGTGCTTTGCGTCGTGTTTGCGTCCACCAAAAACAGTACGTTCCACGTGCGTGTATCTTACTACTTGGCCAATTTTTTGCACGCAAACCGCTCGTAGAAGCACGCACGACCGGTTGTAAGAGTAGCTTTAGACTCCTGCCAGCCAGCGTACCTCACACGTACCTGTTATCTTATGTACTAACCTGACCTGATCAGTAATGTTATGTTCATAGTCTATGTTCATGTTATTTGAATAATCAGTTGGGTGTCATTTACATCTTGTAACAAGTTATCTCCGGCACCTGAGTCTAACCATGTGTAAACAGTAGCTGATCTGGGCTCGGAATCTCGAAAGGATCGCTATGTTGCGCACGCGCTCTAGCATAGCTTGCGTGCGCTATATTCTAGTGCGATTGCACCCACCTGCTATCTCGAAGCCTTAGCAAACGCAACGCAATAAATGCCTGCCCGGAAGTACAATTTTAGTCTCGAACACACGTACGCCTAGCGGTTCTTTTTGGTTTGGAGGGACGATAGTAAATCGCACGTGAAATGGAGAAACACAGTAGGGAGCGTTATAAAACCGATGAGCTCGCGGTGTTGGTGGAGGAGGTCTCGTGTAGACCTACACTATTTAGCCCGTTCACCAACACCGTGACTCTTAAACAAAGAAAAACAATGAGCTGAAGTTGCCGAAAAGTAAGTTGAAAATTATGATTAACAGTCCTCTTCTGTGAATCGTAGTCTGTTTTGCCATGGTGAAATTATATCCATTATATTTAATTATTGCTTATTGATGATTTCGTTTGGTATGTTGTTGTAGTTATTCAATAAAATTAATTATAATTGCTCTCTATTAACACATCTTGACATGGTCATGTACATGTATGATGAAGCAATAAAGTGGTGATTTTTATATTTTTTTAATTAAAATTATGAATGCTTTCCTTCTAGAGTTTTAGTGTTTCACATATAAAGAGGAGTTTCCGAGAGGTCAGGAAAAAATGGCATGACCTCACGTCTCGCACTAAGCGCAAAGAGGCCAAACGCCGTGCAGCAGTGCGGCATCATGTTCTTTAGACCCCATCCCAACAACATTGCTGACCCAGATTCTACCAACTGTCATAAATCCTATCACAGAACTGGTGAACTTATGCTTTAAAGAGGGAATATTTCCAGACTCATTCAAAAGTGCAGTAATCAAACCTCTTCTGAAAAAGAATAATTTGGATCATAATGTCTTTAATCACTATAGACCTGTGAGTAATCTTTCTTTCTTGTCAAAGGTGGTTGAAAGAGTCATGGCAACGAGGCTATTTGACCATCTAAAACAGAATAACTTGGTGGAACAAATGCAATCGGCTTATAAAGCAAAACATAACACTGAGCTTGCTCTTCTGAGAATAAAAAATGACCTTCTGACTGGTGTTGACAATCATTCTGCAGTCTTACTGGTGCTATTAGATCTTTCAGCAGCATTTGATACAGTGGACCATGACACTCTTCTATCATTCTTCGAGAAATCAGCTGGAATTAAGGACAAGGCGTTGTCTCTCCTACGGTCTTATCTTACTGGTAGAACACAGCAGATATCCATCAACGGTGTACTTTCAGATCTTGAGCAGATGATTTTTGGTGTTCCACAGGGCAGCGTTCTTGGACCGATTAAATTTTGCATGTACACACTACCCTTGGGTGCTATACTACGACATCATCAAGTTGGCTATCACATATATGCAGACGACACCCAGTTGTACCTTAACTGTGATATTCTTAAGCCTGGAGATGCAATAACTAGAATGACCTATGCCATTTCAGATTTGCGAGAATGGATGATCAAAAGTAAACTAAAATTAAATGATGAAAAAACCGAATTCATGGTCATCACTCAACCACACTCAAAACACTTAGCTGAAGGACTATCTCTACAAATTGGATCTGCAATAGTTGGGGTTTCTCCTCATGCAAAAAATCTGGGGGTGTATTTTGATACTACTTTAAACATGGACAAGCAGATAGCCAACGTGAAAAAATCTTGTTTGTATCACATAAGAAACATCAGTTCCCTACGAAATAATTTAACAGATTCTGCCACTGCCACGGTCATTCATGCCCTAGTAACATCAAGGCTTGATTACTGTAACTCCTTGCTTTATGGATGCGGCATAGAAAGAACAAAGAAAGTCCAACGCATTCAAAATATATCAGCACGTCTTCTTACCCGAACTTCTATGGAGAATCACATGACACCGATATTAAAACAACTTCACTGGCTACCTGTAAACGCCCGGATCTTATTCAAACTTTTAACTCATGCTCATGCGGCTTTTTACGGACTTGCACCAGATTTTATTTGTGATCTTGTATCTCATTACACACCAAACCGTACCTTAAGATCTAAGGATCAATTATTACTAAAACCACAGAACGCAAGACTAAAATCTTTTGGCGAAAAATCATTCCAGTACGCAGCACCACATGAGTGGAATAAATTACCTCTAGACTTGAGAAGCATTAGCTCAGTGAAGGATTTTAAAAAAGCTTTAAAAACATACCTTTTTCACAAATTTTATTAAAGAACATTTTATAACTCGGAAATATTAACTGGACAT